GTACAGCAGGAGCAACACATTTGTACATATTTTATAATAACGTGATGTTTAGATATTATTTATTTTATATTAAGACACAGATAAATGCTTTTATGAAAGCTGATATTGTATTTAAATGTTTGTACATATGTAACTGACCAAGACAATAAATGAAATAATAACTTCACAGTTAAACGTTTCTTTTTAACTAAATGATATAACTGCACTTTAATGAAACACATCAATGCTGTATAGTGTATAGTTGAGGCTTTTGTCACACAGAAGATACGATAAGATAAGATAAAATAATCCTTTATTAGTCCCACAGTGGGGAAATTTGCAGGATTATAGCAGCAAAGTGGAGAGTGTAACAAGAGACATCAGTCGAAAATAATACAGAAAACAAAACAAGTACAATAAATAGTCAAACATTAAAGGTACAATAAATAAGTAAATCTTAAACAAACGAAAATACAATATGACCGGGTTGAGTGGATACACATTATTGCACATATGAGGTTGGTAATATGAAGTATCTATATTGCACATACATAGTGGGCGTGGTTTCATCCCTCAGGCCCTTGCCCACATTTTTTCCCCAAAAAATGCAGGGGGTGGACTTCGGTTTAGACCTTGGGGGGAAGTTACACTTTAAACTTTTGCAATAATCTACATCATTGTACTCCTCATTCTTCAAGGGCATGAAGGAAAGGAAAGTGGTTGAATTGTGTTTGACAAGCAGAGGCAACTCAAGCATCAGACCACATATAGTATCTTTAATCACAATCGACGTGAAAAAATGACATGTTTAGAGTTTCAACTCAGGAACCCTTTTCCTGCAAATAAAAGGTGACTCTGCTTCTCACTGTATCTCTGTGTTTTACACCGAAATAGAAAAAAAAGCACATTACCAGTTCAAGGTCTACCAGTTCCCCCGGCATTCACGGCTATCAGAAGTCCATAAGCTTAACCCTGGAATGGTTTGGGCTGCTTCTCTTTGTTCCAGCTGGCCTCCAGCAGGACTGATCCCACAACAGTAACTTGAGTCCCCTCCAAACACAGCGGGGCTCTCCTCTACGTCGTACGTTGGGGACATGGATCTTGGGCAGCAGGCATGTGAGTCCAAAGCCCACTGGGATAATGTAGTTATCTGAGCCATTAGGTCTTAATTCATCATCACTTGGCTCATAACCGTATGGAAATCCATTGAGTCTTGTTTGTCGTGTATTGACGTGACAGGGGGGGGGTTTGGGGGCGTTTGTTGATGATGTGCTGGTCTCCCTCAGATCTCTTTGGACGACACAAAGCCCCAGTTGACCTTTGGGACTCTGCCTCATCTCTCAGGTCCGCATACACACACGTGTCCATGCAGTGTCCCACATGTGTCCGATTTATTAGAAGCTTCAATGTAGCATCCAAGGAGGGGAAAACAAAGTTATTTCAAAGCAGCAGGGAGCGTTCAAACCATGCTTATGTTTGAAGGTCAGCCCCTTTTTTCTGTGTTTTTAGTGTCTAAAACGTGCGTTGAGTGAGCGCTTCCAGAAGCCAAGATGCTCCACAGAAGGATTTAAAAGGACTTTTTTCGACCGCAGCTGTGACACTTTTAAATGAAATGTAATACGTGCATGTTCCTGAGGTATAAGAGAAGTATTTTGACATATTTCTAGATTAGATAAGGTCGATTTATTTCAAACATGTAACAAATAATGAGAAAACGAAACAAGAATAACCAACAGAATGAACAGCAAACATGTTTAGCACATACTAAGTAAACTAAATCAATATTTTGTTTGAAAAAGAGTTGGCAGAAGTAAAAAAAAAGTCCTACCCCTTTCTATAATATTGATCCGAAAATATAAATTATATTTTGGGCCATTCTGCATAACTACAAAGTCCTCTTACTTTTAATGCTTAAAGTAAAAATTGTATTTCTAAGTAAAATTTTGGAAGCAGGACTTACTTGTCATGGAGTATATTTACATATTTGTATTGAAGTAAAGTATATGAATACTTGCTCCATCACTGAGCTGAATCAAGAGCTTGCAGTAATCCTCACGTGTCCCTTTTTCAACAGAACCATTCATATCTTTTTACCAAATATCCAGTTTTCTGTAGAAACCAGACAGAAATGTGATACCTCTAAACAGTAATGTGGTTTTAATGGGCTCCTGCCCACTCACAGCAGCGTTGCCTCACTACATGCTGCAGCTCCATGGGTATCTGCTAATTTAACGTCTGTTTGCTAATGCCTGCGTTTGACCTCAATTATAGACCTAACAACAACAATCACAGTTTGTCCTTGTAAACAAATTGTTTGTTCAACCTGGGTATATTACTGTCTAAAATTTGAATATTTTCTTGACACATGTGCATATAAACCTGCATTTTGTGCTATTAGAAGACCGGTATTTGCTGTAAAAGCTCGATATCCATCTGTTTTTCTTATGTCTGCTCCATCAGACCCCACAAAGAAACAGCTCCCTCTGCGAGCCCCGACTCTCTCTCTCTTCTATAACTTTACAGGGATTTCAGTGTTACTGATGACACCATATAATTCTCATTTGGCTGTGAAGGCAGTATGTTTAAAAGTCAAAGCTGATGAAAGGCGAGCAGTTATAGGACGGGGGGGATAAGCCTGGAGGCTGAATGCTCTGATTTATCCAGACTCTCCTTGAATATCCTGCTAAAGGATTCACTGCAGCGGAGCTGGCAGCACACCTCTTTCGGCTCTCTGCCAAACAAATGCTGTTGCCACTCAAAATGTTTTTTTTTGTTTCACTACAGTTATTCTTGTGTGGAAAGGAAAATTTATGTGTGGGGGGGGGGGAACCCCTGAGATTATTTTGTATTAAACTTTATCTATTCACATGATTTTCCTTTGAAACGCCTCTGAATTATCTAATGAACTTCACGACATTTAAATAACAGACTTATTTTAACATGCTCTTAAGTTGTTTGTTTATCATATTCTCTTGTAAATTTACAGATTTTTATTTGTTGTAATGTCTTTTACTATTGCACAGTTTATTGTCCTGCACCAATCACCTAGCCAAACTCCTTGTATGTGCAAACATACTTAATATTAGTTTCTGATTCTGAATCAATATGTATTTTTAATGAAGTTATAGTTACAGAAACACATTAATCTTATTGTATCTTTTCTTTTCTTATAAAACTCAAATGTCACCCAGTATTTTGGCAGTAAAAAAAAAAATCTAAATGTGATTAACTTTTATTTGGCGAGGAGCTTCAGAAGCTTTGTTTTGCAGGAATGTAAGTGACAAATTGCCTCTCTGTCTGTGGGGCTTGTGTTGCACCAAACGAGCAGCATATTAAGTCAAAGCGCGAGGCAGTTTAGAAGAAATAAGGGTTTCAGACGTGAGGGAGATGGACATAAAGGATCACCTCCTGCCCTTCACTTAACTCCGTCTCTGACCCTTGAGAACAACAAGAAAGCAAACTCAAGAGAGTTCCCAAGGGACCAGATCCTGCGCGTAACGACTGCGCCAATAGAAGTTTGCCCAGTCCCACCATGTGCTGCGCCAATCTTAACTCCAGCCGCAATCAGCTCTCGGGTTTGATAGCAGGTTTTCTCGTTGGCGACGTTGTTCTCAGCCTGAGCAGCCTTTGATCTTCTCAGCAGCCACAAGCGCAGGCGAGCCCGATGTCTTCTTCAGCTGTGCCTAATGCAAACTCCGACCGCCATTCAGAGGCAGCGGGTATACCGCTGTTTTCTTAGGTGCGCGCTGTTCCCAGAGAAGGGGGATCGCCAAACGTTCTGACACATTGTGAGAAATATCCGCATTGTATCCTTGTAAGCTGTCAACAACATCATTACCTAAACAAGTCGGCTCGTTCGGGGTCGAGCTGCAAAAAGCCCCCCTCCAATTCTGCAAATAGAGAGACAATTAAACTTCACTCCAGAGCAGTTTACTATGTCGCCATCTTTATTTCCCAGAAACAGATGTCAGCTGTGTGAAACAAAGCAGACAGAGGCAGAATATCTCTACTAATGTGAGGAAAAACATGTTTTTAATATGCACTGCTGTCAATGTCAAATATCCAATTACTTTATTTTCACTTCTATTCAAATGGAAAACTTTGCATTCCACATTGCTTGAAGCAACCCTGCGCCATCATGGCCATCTGTTGTGTGCTGAAATTGAAGTACTTGACTTGTGTCAATAACTTTTAATGGTTAAAATTTGGTCCTTGGGAGCAAAATGGCGCGGGGAGTTAAGCAGCGGTGTCACTTGTGTGATTGCTGTTTTTTAAATGAGGCAAACAGGGAGGATCACCTCATTCACAGCACCTTCGGTGATGAGCCCGGGGTGTTTTAGAGGGGGCTTACCACTGCACCGTGAATTCATAGGGCTTGAAATGTTACACCTTGCCTTGCAGCTGGGCTGCATCTGCAACGCTGTTGTCTGCGCAGTACAAATTGGCCCGCATGCTCCTGCAAGTGGTCACCCTCTTTTTCTGCACAGTTTGACTAAAACAAAACACACGCTTTTATAATGTACGTCTTTATGGCGAAGTGTGACTTTCGTTTGTTGCCGGTTACAGATGAATCGAGCCGAAGTACCGGAAAAAACCGAAGCATTTGCTCGTGTGGTGACTAAGGCTGCAAATGTTCGCCCCCCGAACTCCCGAAGCATTCCCAAGCATTGTGTTCATCGTGGCCTTGCAGAAGAAGAGCCGCTGGAACAGGAGAGCGGTGATGAGTAGGAAAACACCAGTAAGTGCAGATGTGGGAAACTCTGCAGGGTACTGGGGGGTGAGAGACAGCGGGTTGGGGATGGGGCAGGGAGGGAGCTGAGCTAACCCCAGCCTGCCTTCTGGCTGGGCCAATGGGCCATGGTAATTAGATCTGGCCAATGTGGGCCCTGGGCTCTGGCCTGGGGGCATAAAAGGGGGGCCTGGGGCAACAGACCCCTCATATCACTCAGAGGTCTCCTCTCTCTCTCACCCCACTCCTTCTTTCCTCCTCGCGCCCATCTTTCCATCCATTCATACTTCTCTCCTCAGCAAATATGGACGTCTTCTCGCCATCGCAGGTCTACTACGACGCGTGTGCTTCCTCTCCGGACAGCCTGGAGTTTGGCCTCGGCGCAGAGCAGGATGGCTCCGAGGAGGACGAGCATGTGAGGATCCCCGGGGCCCCCCACCAGCCGGGACACTGCCTCCAGTGGGCCTGCAAGGCTTGCAAGCGCAAGTCCAACTTTGTGGACCGCAGACGGGCCGCCACCATGCGTGAGCGCCGGCGGCTGAAGAAGGTCAACCACGCTTTCGAGGCTCTGAGGCGCTGCACCTCGGCCAACCCCAGCCAACGTCTGCCCAAGGTGGAGATCCTGCGCAACGCCATCCATTACATCGAGAGCCTGCAGGACCTGCTACGAGAACAGGTGGAAAACTACTACAGCCTACCTGGAGGGAGCAGCTCGGAGCCCGGGAGCCCGCTGTCCAGCTGCTCTGACGGCATGGTAAGACCTCTGATCCACATGTTCAGCCTCCTTGTGCAAACATCGCAGCTTGCTGCGGCTCTAAAAAACCAAAAGTCCGGCAGAGAAATAACTACACGCAGGACAACTTCATTTTGCAGGAGGTTTGCCTGAAAGGGCTTTTATTGTTGAGCGAAGTATCTTCGGAGTCTTACATTTAAGCGCTGGTGCCATTTCTCATTACCATGTCGAGTATTTCATCTCAAAATAGAGCCTGGATTCTTAATCTAGAAACCTATTAATCAAAGAGTCTTGTTTTGCCCCAATGACCTCAATTACAATGCCTCAATCTCCATGCATGTCATACTCTTCTCTGAAATCTGTTCTGCAGTCCTACAAGTATCAGTGTGTGATGATTGTTATTAAAGGTCAGGCTGAATTAGTTGTTCTCCACAACAGTTTGAAGGTGATAGTGTATCAGTGAATATAAAAGAAGTTATCGTGCTGGATGGAGTAATGGCTTTCCCACCACCGGACACTTTATAGCCCTAATAAACCGAGCTAAATCCACCTTACTGAAGTCTGGCAGGAAAAAAAACACTGGGCGCTTTTCTGCATTCCATCCTGACTGCATGTTCTGCACCGCTGCCAGGATTTTCTGCAGATTTACTAGGAGAAAGTGTCATCTTGCACAAACTGGTGTTGCTTCCACTGATACAATCGATTCGGCACGCTCAGAGCTCTGGTAGGGGAAGGGAGCGCATACTGCCACTTTGGCTTTAAGGTGGAAGTGAAATAAAGAAGCCCATAACTTTGGAATTTAGGATTTATTAGCCTGTCCAGAATATCGTGAAGGGCATCGCTTGTTTTTGCACTTTTCCTGCTTCTTATATATATATATATATATATATAAATATATATATATATATATTTATGCAACCATAACACATTTCTGTTTGCAAGACTTCAAGGGTAAATTTGATTTCCCATTTTCTTGCAGGCCGACAGCAACAGTCCAGTGTGGCAACATCTGAATGCAAACTACAGCCACAGTTATTCGTATGCGAGGAACGGTAAGACCTTTCAACAGCAGCCTGATGTGAATATGACATGCATCCGTGCCAGAGGAGTGCTTTAAAAACCTAATAAATTAATTTAAATCTCCTACATTATAAAAAGAATGAAGATATGATCAAACATGTTTTTCTTCGTGTGTGCTTTTGAATAAACTTATGTCCTCTGTCTTCTTAGAGAGTTCCTGCGATAAGGCAGTCGGAGCCTCCAGTCTGGAGTGTCTCTCCAGCATCGTGGACCGTCTGTCCTCGGTGGAGACCAGCTGCGCTCCGCCGGCTCTGAGAGACACGGCCACCTTCTCCCCCGGCAGCTCCGACTCGCAGCCCTGCACGCCGGAGAGCCCCGGATCCAGGCCCGTCTACCACGTCCTGTGAAGTAAACTTTGACGTGGATATATTGCCACGGGCAGGGCGCCCTGCTTTCACCAAACACCAGCTGCATTTGCAACACGAGAGAGATAAGAACACGCTGTGTGCAAATCTGAAGGGAGACTCGGCTGTATCTGAGGACCAAGCAGCTTTTATATTGTACATGAGATTGTAAATAATGTAAATGCCCATTTATTCTGCTATTATACCCAATGAGACATATTTACCATATTTAATTATGACAGTTAATGTTGCATCAGTCCAACATGAAGTGGTATTTAAGCGGTTTTCTTTCTTTCCATGCTGTCATGAACATTAAATCTTTCACTGTTTTGTATAAAAGTTTGAGCTTTTTTGGTTTTTCTTCTGTTTCTTTGAGACCATGTCTTCACATATTTATCATCAAGTTAACGCAGGAGGTGTAATAAGATAGAATAGCGAAGAAATATAGTCCCTTAGGAGTTCTTACTTCTAATAAATGTGATGACACAAAAACAACAACAGCAAAAACCGATGACTATCTCACACTATTGTAGCAGTTTTACACAATTATTTTTATCACACAGAGTAACACTATCTAAAGGCGAGAGCTGTTTCCATCATTATAACACTGATTAGTCATTGTTTGGTGGGTTTGCAACTGTTTAAAGATGCATCATCATCTGATTTTAATACAGCTAAATTATTCATCTTTAGATTGCAGATTTATTTTTCCAGAAAAGATGTTTTTATCAAAATAAAAGGTCGAGTTACTCATCATGTGACAGTCTAGGCTGTCTCCAGCTAACAAGGTGTGGAGATCACATTAGAAACTGATAGAGGTCAGCTGATGCCATTAATCATGTGACGCTGCTGTAACCACTCATGCCGAGAGTCATACAGCAGAGTAAAAGGGCAATTTATCCTTTTAAAATATGATTTTCTGCATTAAAGCAAGGCTTTAAACAAAAGCAGACAAACCTGTTAACAACAAATGAAATGATTGCAGAGTTTAGGAATTTAAAACGCACATTTTGTCCGTCTTTCATCACATTTTAGGGTCTCTTTGTACTTCCCTGGGCGCGTGTTTAGTTGGGAGGCAGCGCTGTGTGTACCTGTTTGTTCTTTCCTTCCAAATGTGAGTCATCATTAACACCCTTGATTACACCATCGACACCAGAGTTGAGAACAAATGGCATCTAATTGTACTTGAGGGGGAGGAGGGGGTTACATGTGTGACCAAACTGTATTTAAAAAAAAAACTTATATAGAGGAAATACATTTGTTCAATCCATATTTCCTTTGTGAGTATTGTTCTCATGATTACATTCTTTACTTCCTCAATCAAGATGTCTTTCTACTTCTACCTGCTCTAATGTGCTCTTTGTTAAATTACAAAAATAAAATACAACAATGTAGAAATACTAGCAAGTAAAAGTTCTGCATTCGACAGCGAAGGTGAAGCAGAAGTACAATAATTTCCTCTGAAATGTAATGAAGTAGAAGTATAATCTATAAAATGGAAGTACTCAAGTAAAGTACAAGTACAGCCAGTGTTGGGAGAAGTATACGGATCATTTACTTGTGCTAAAGTAGCAATATTAAAGTACCCATAATGGATCAAAATGGCCCACTGTGAAATCATTTTCCATTAAATTATTACTGGCAATGCATTAATGTGCAAGTAGTATCTTGACGTTGTAGCTGGTTGAGGTGGAGATCATTTGAACCATTTTATTTACTGTCGTGTGGTGTAATAACATCATATTCATAAAGCTCACAGGTCATTTTATGTAAAAGTTGAATAAGTAAATTAAGCAAAGCTGTTAATAAGATGTAGTTCAGTAAAGAGTATAATGTCTCTTTAATTTATTTGAATAGTATAAAGTAGCATAAAATGGAAATACTTTTACTATTTAAAGCACAAGTACCTCAAAATTTGGTCAACTTGCTTACTTTCCACAACTGGTGGTCTGGTAAAAATGCTCAAAATGAAGTTTCATTTGGAAATAAGTTAGCTGGTGAGACATTAGACAACATACAAAACAGACGTACATGTATATACTGTATATATACTTATTCTACCACTGGAGAGAGTAAACAAGCAGTTCTGTGTCTCTGCTCCGGTGCTGTGAAACATTGTGGACATTCCAGCAGCGGCTTGTATTTCACCAACCACCACCACCACGGCTGCGTACGGCGCTCCAAATGGCACTCATGTCATTTTCCACGGCTGCAGTTCATGAATCGCTCACTCACATTATGTGTTCCTGAGTGTCAACACAAAGAACATGCTATATGAGATTACACCGCGGCCGGAGAGGTCGAGCATGAAATCAGGGGAAATTAAGTGATTTTCATCAGATTTTCATCACGTGCTGATTTGACAGAGAATGGATTTTATTAATAACTTGACTCTGGGATGACATGACACACATACTTGCACAGTCATTACTGTAGTACTCAGTGGGACCACAAGGGAGAGGTGTTTCTTCTATTTCCTACAACACTTAACATGTGTTTGCCCTCTGTGTTTTGATTTAAAGTTCAGGTTGATTCTTTGACTTACGATGTTTATGTGTAGAATTGACTTTGCTCCTTAGCGTCCTGTTGTGCACTCAGCCAACAGGGTTAGAGTGCAGGGAGGTGCTACTGCAGGAAAAGGTCACAGGTCAAGTGTGTTGCTCTATGGACATCTCCGCTGCTGGTGAAGAGTTTTGAGAAAAATAACATCTAAAGGAGGACGATAGTTTTTGGCGTGATGACGTTTTGTCGTCTCATTTAGACACTTGTGAGCAACCGCCTTTTTAAAGACACATAAAAACTTCACAATTCCCGAGAGGTGTATGTACTAACGTATTCTGTGTCGTAAAACAAAACGTTAAAATGTTTTCAGCTTGTGTTCATCACAGACTTTAATGCATCTAACAAAAAATATTCAAAAAACACATTGACTTCAAGACGAGGGAACCGGGAACAACACTCTATTGAGGTATATATATATATATATATATAAATATATATACAGTATATATATATTTATTAATTTTTTCCCTGAAAAATAATTGTGTCCCGATGGGAAAGAAACCCATGAAATTTGTTTCGATACCAATTAAAATATAGTAAAACTATTTGTCACAAAGTAGAATAAATCTGCATCTATCTTCTCTCCGTCGCTTCCTTTGATCGAGCCGGTCTGGGTCACATCTGATCAGCTTCACGGTGAAGTCATGACAGCGCGGTTCTAAGATGCAGCCTGAGTGACGTCACTGTTAGAGGCATGAGACACATCCAGTTCTTTCAGTGCTATTTCAGGATGTGGGGGTGTAGATGGAAGATTACAGAGGAGATCAAGAAGGCGATTAAAACTATTTTCACACCATTAATACATCAGCGCGTGTGACTTACTGAGGGGTTGTTTATCTGTTTATCATCTGCGCTTCAACTGCAGTTTCTCCTTATTTTCATCTGGGTTACTTGGTGATGCTGACAAGGTGTTACATTCAGTCTCTTGGCTCCTGATTAAAAGCCATGGACACGGGCGAGGGATTTGTCACCTGCACTTACGTCATCTGCACTCTTGATTTTTCTCACGTCGGGCTCTGGTTGTTTGCTGGAGAGAGAAAAAAAAGGGGATTTAACACTGTGTGCAACAGGTTGCCGATGAAGAAAGAGCGCTGCATTGTGCTTCTGCTGTCACCGTTTGAGTTTAATACCTCCCGTTTACAAGAGTCTCTTTATTAGTTTCAGTGCCTGCTCTTTGTACGGAGCCAACAAAAGGCCATTGACTTTCTGTTGCAGGGCTAAAAGCTGGACGAGTCTTCAGAGGGACATTTCAGTGCTCGAGGTTTAACCACCTCACCTTCTGAAGCTGCACTTAGGTCTCTGAAAGGCAGCCAGTGACGAGCTGTTTCATTGTGACAAGAAACAAACACATCAGGATTCTAACCGTAAAAACAGTCACTTCATTATGCGACATGATACGATATTGATGCCGATATAGTTATTATTCAGTAAAGGCACCGGAGGGACAGGAAATACAGAAGTTTGATCCATTAGTATTTATTATTTTATTATTTGTGCTTTTATGTTTTCTTGGCCAGGACTCCCTCGGAAAAGAGATTTTGAATCTTGATGACGTACACATCATGTGCATGATTAAGCAGACAAATTCTTTCTCCTGTATAGTGCACACTGCACTACAATATTATTATCATTATCTCTTCGAGAGGGCTTGGATGCAGCTATGACCCGAAAACCATCTGTAATTTTGCAAACTTTTGTCTCTACGTCTTTGCCGTTCTTCAGCAGGTGACACATCAATGGCTCTCTGATGTCACGCTGACACACAAAGCTCTGTGCTGCAAGTCAGAGTCGACTAAATACTTAATGATACCGTAAAGATGTAGTGATATGAAGGAAGGCCCGACAAAGCATTCACTGTACACAAGCACATAGATTTATTTTTACAAATATAGTATGTATAACAATTGCATATCAACAGTGTGTTGTCTTTTTTTTTAATCTTTACGGTAAGTACAGGACCATCTGCTTCAAAAATGTAAGTCAATTAAGAAAGAGTACCTGTGATTTAAAGATACAAAAAGGGATCTGTTGTATTGAGATGTTCTTCTGGATGAGTGAGTGAATGTCCTTTAAAACCTGAGCCCAGAGTTCACCGAATACAAGTGACCTTCGTGCTAACAGGCTGTGGAGGGAATGGCAACATCTGGCAGCGTGGAACGGAGTACGCACGAAGAAGGGTTTTGCTCTGCTGGAATTGTGCCATTATGTAGATCAGAAAAGATGGAAATGATCACTTTCTGTCAATAAGGAATAATCAGCAACATTTTCATGAAAGATGCAACTTCCCGACACTCTTAACAGACAGCAAGGGGTGAAAAAAGAGAGTCCTCTGGCATACAGGAAGTGATGCGTTTCATGTTTTGGATTTGTTTATGGTAAATAGAAGAAGAAAAAGAGGTAAAAGCCGGCATGTTTGAACAAAGAAAGAGAAGAGCGCCACCTACAGAAAACAAAAGGACAGAAAACCCCAAGACGGTACCAGACACACAAATTGACAACGCCGTGATCTCTGGGAAGTGTAGTGCAAAGAAAAGAACACAACAAGGAGCGCTTAGCACCAAATATGCAGAAGACAGAAATTACCACTCTAAGTTTAGAAACAGATGTCCCTTACAGGTACGGAGGAAAGATGATTGTCAGAACAGAAGCGCAGGTCGACATGAACTATGTGCTAGTATTCAGCTGTTATACAAGGAATAGATTTTAAATAATAATCTGCACGTCTCAGAAAGAATACATAACACTTAAAAGGAACAATAAAACTTTATGTTAAATCTCTGATCTCATAAACTACAGTATAGACATGTCTGAAAAATCATAATTTCATCTAACTCCCACTCACAGATGAAAACTGGTGACATTCTGTCTGTCTGCCGGAAACAGGACAACATTTCTGAGGGTTGATTTGAACCTCGATAAAATCTCACGGTAAGATATATTGTTCTAGATAAATCTCAGTTGGGAGGAGCTTACAAAGTTCCAGTTATTGCACATAAATAAATCCGTGCCACTTTTAAATCGGTAATCTCTTTAAATGGCACGGAGGATAGATTTGGACACAGAAGCTGCCTTACAGTACATAAGACCCAGTTTGCTTTACAACGATTTACATGTGCACCCGTAGACTCTGTATATATATGCACGTATCCGATCGTGAATTTAGTGGCGAGGTGTGAAAGCAGAAGATTGGGTGTTATTGCTAAACCTACAAGATACAAAATCGTTCCTGCTACAATATAGAAGGTAAAAAAGAGTTCACGTTTATCCAAAACAGGACAAGTTTGACACGAAAAAAAAGAGAAAGAATCCGATGGTCATTCATACAGAGACACGAGCACCAGTTGACGAATCAATAGAAACACCACTGTACAAATGGCAAAGGTGCCATAATGGATGTTCGGTAAGCAATCAAAAAGTGGATGACTGTAAACAAACACAACAAACACAAGAAAAGGAGACTCACAACCGGGGAGAACAACTCATAAAAGGGAATACGAAGTTAAAATGGACGACTTTCAGAGCTAGCCTCCCTCATACTTGTTTTTCAAAGCACCAGTTTCAGGAACGAACGGCTCTCTTTGTTTTTGCTCAGTAATCGGTGGTGCACTGGAAGGGAGAGATTAAGAAAAAGAGTCTTCTACTTGTTGGTTTTCCTCCGCGACGGAGAGCTTCCTTTGGGATCCTCAGCGCAAACAGATGGTCTTTTGAGATCCACTTTTCCTTCACTTCTTCTTCTTTTGGAACAACCTGCAGATCATTAAAGAAGAGAGACAAGCTGAGAGCGATGCTTTTAGACGGCTCAGACTCACAGACCCGAGTGTTATCACGCTAATTATGTAATGCTTCTGATTATTCTGATCAAAGCTTTAATTACGGCAACTCTCGCACTTTTGGCACGAGAAACCTACTTTGAAGGCAGTCCTCAGCCATCACGCTGCCCAAATGTCACGACAAACACGAGGAAGCCACACAAATATTCTCCTTCTTTACAAAAACATAGCTCACCATGTAGCGAAGACAGGTTTATAAACATTACATTAAGACTGTCCACTGGTTACCCGTCTGGAAGAGGACATCTCTGCACCTTTGTGTGTCTCCTCACACGGCTGTACACTGCAGGTGTAGTAGTATATATTTATGGTTGTACTAAATTATGAACAAGGCGTTACCTCAAAATACCTCAGATAACAGTTAATACAATTTTATAAATGAATGCATTAACTCTCAGGAAAAAGGAGCAGAGGCGGTAATTCTTACATATATTTATCATCTGCTAATTATTAATCAGGAGATTAAAGTCTCACTCCAGCCAGTTGTGTAACGTAGACACCGTCCAAGAGACAGAGACAGATGAACACCAGGCAAACCAGTGGCTCATGTTGCATTCTTGTCCGCTTGTGCGTGTCACTTGGTCCGCGGCCTCTTGGCCCGCCACAGCAAATCTCTGCGCTCGGCACGCCGGCATTGATAAAACATGATCCCTGATCCGTTCCCCGTCTGTAGCTCCACCATAACACACTGTTACAAGCTCCCAAATACCTTCCCAAGCTGCTCCGTGCCAAGTGCAAGACGAGAGATACGCCTGGGGGACTTAGCATCAAGCGGGCAGTGACTCTGAGATCTTGGACACATGCCCGCCTCCAGTGCGTCAGGGGAAACGCTTAAATAATTCGAGAAGCCCGGGCGGAATTAAGCGTAGCACAATTTAGCTTAATGGTGTGATTAGTGTCTGAAAAGTTTGTACTTGCTTTTAAGTTTTGCTATTTTCACACAGTAGAGGCGTGCTTTTAGTTTGACTGGCAGTGCGGAGCTTTGTTCTAAATTTATACAAGGAATAGATTTTAAATAATAATCTGCATTTTAAATAATAATCTAATATTGCTTTAGACAATATTGTCTAAAGCAGAGGTATGTGGTCCATCCAGCATTGCAGGCTGTATCTGCGTGTCCCCTGTACCTGCAGAGCATGAGCCACAGATGTAATCGATATAAGCTTGAATAATTCAACAGAATCACTGGTGGAAAGATAGCAGAAGCAGTAAAGTTTGCACAGAGGATGCCGACTGCTGAGTTTGCAAAATATACCACTGAAGTTTTGGACTTCGTGCCGGGATGTAAGCGTCTGCTACCTGCTCACGAGCCAATGAAAACGGTTCTCAAGGCCGAGCAGAGCATGGCGGAGAAAACTCAAAGGAGAGTTGAACCTGCTTCCACTTCTCTCCATCTACATTCCTCTTCTGTTTTACACCACAGTTGATGAAAAAAAAAAAAGTTAAGACAAGGAAATCACCAAAGACTTGACCAGGAGCATAGCTGTGGCTCACTGCTCCACCGGTCCAACACCGACACCACGCTGCTGGAGGCCCAGGCCGTAATGCTGGGCCCGCTGGAGGAAAGGGAGGCACGGGAAAACCAGAACCAGGACTGAGCAGAGCAGACAGTCAGAGCCTGCTGCAGTGAAATGAGAGGTTTTCTAAAGGGTGCTCTGGTGCTCTGATACACTACCGCTTTTGTCCACAGGGACCGCCAAAATCAACACTACATGAAAGTTCCTCGTAGTAGCTTTAAATTCTGCTTCCAATGTGTCCCAGCCTATTAAAACCTGGGATTGGCTATTCATTCACGTCATCGTCTTCTCTGGAGGTGCCCCCCCCCCCCCCCCCCCCCCCCCCCCCCCCCCCCCCCC